GAGGGGACTGGAGCATCTCTCCTACAAGTAAAGGCTGAGGGAGCTGGGCTTGTTCAGCCTGGAGAAGAGAAGGCTGAGAGGGGACCTTAGAAATGCCTACAAATATCTGCAGGGTGGGTGTAAGGAAGATGGGGCCAGACTCTGTTCAGTGGTGCCCAGCGACAGGACAAGGGGCAACGGGCACAAACTGAAGCAGAGGAAGCTCCAGCTGAAGCCGAGGAAGAACTTCTTCCCTCTGAGGGTGCCGGAGCCCTGGCCCAGGCTGCCCAGGGAGGCTGTGGAGTCTCCTTCTCTGGAGATATTCCAGCCCCGCCTGGCCGCGGTGCTGTGCCCCCTGCTCTGGGTGACCCTGCTTGGGCAGGGGGCTGGGTTGGGGGACCCACAGAGGGCCCTGCCCACCCCACCATGCTGGGATTCTGTGATTCTATGAATACACTTAGAGACTCGTCCGTTAGCCCTTTTCCTTTTTGTATGTCTAATTGCTCAAGATCATCTGTGGATGTGTGTCTGGGTTTTTTGTCACTGTGTATGTAACCTCTGCAAGCCTTTAGATTACATAATGTAGAGGAAAGAAGTTAGAAGGTATGTTTTATTAACTCTGGGACCAATAGCTGAGATATATATATTCCTGGTTCCTGGCTTTCAGCGCTAGAGTTTTGCTGACTGCTGAAAGACGTGCAGAAAATGTAGGCCCATCTCTTGAGGCTGTTACTTTTGAGTATTGATGGTTTTCTTGTGCCTCTGCAGACAAATGGAAATTCCAATGGGCTTGTTCCAATGCTGAGGGTCTACAACAACACTGCCCGTTACGTGGATCAAGGTGGAAACAAGGTACCGGCTTTCTGTTGATTTAGGGTCAAGAAGGGAACCTCAGGTCAGAGAGAGGGGTTCCACATCTGTGAAAGGTTGACCCCAGTATCATCAGTGAGCTGGTGAAGTGGTTGTAGGTGACACGTAATTAAAACAGGGCATTTTTTCCCCTTCTTGTTGATATTCTGGGGTTCCCCTTTCACTGTGTTTTATCACGCAGATATATCTTTTGGTACATGTCTGCTGCATGATATGCAAATGTTAGAGCAGCCTCTTGGGCTGGTTATTAGTCACTCCTCGAATGCCCTGCGGTGATTTAAGGTGTAAGACTGTAGAGAGCTTCTTGATCTGTATCCTTTGTCTTCACATAGTCCAGAGACACAAGAAGTAAACCTAAGATCTGTCAAGCTCCTGTTTACGCAGAGGAAATACCTTTTTGGTACTAAATAATATTTATTAAGAATCTGGAGCTGGTAACACGGCCCAGTTCCAATAAGTGAGAGCAACAGTAACGCAGAAAAGCATATCAGAATTGGCTTCACGAGGCTGTGAATCTAAGGTCCAGTTAGTTTAGGGTATTGTGTGCGCTCAGGAGCAGCGCAGGAGATGTTGTTATTTTCAAGGGCGATTTGTTCTGATCTTGGCTGTGTTTTATCTCTCAGAGACCTGGGGCTTTTGCCATCTACCTGGAGCCGTGGCATTTGGACATCTTTGAGTTTCTTGACTTAAAGAAGAACACTGGAAAAGAAGAGCAGCGAGCCAGAGACCTTTTCTTTGCCCTCTGGATTCCTGATCTCTTCATGAAGCGAGTTGAAACCAACCAGGTAAGAAGCTTGGTTGGTGCAGAATGGGTCTGTTAACGGAGAAACAGGTGATCAGCCCTGGGATGGAGTTCACGAGAGGTTGCAGAGCCATCTTCCTAGCAGCAAAGGGACTTGCTGAAAGAGCTTCTGCGCCTGGTTTGACAACTGGGCTGTGTGGGCAGAGAGTGGAGTTGGAGTACTCCAGTGGGGTGCTTTGCTTCAGTGCTTCAGTGCAGCAAGTTTGCTGATGACACCAAACTGGGAGGAGTGGTGGGCACACCAGCAGGCTGTGCTGCCATTCAGCGTGACCTGGATAGGCTGGAAAGCTGGGCAGAGAGGAACCTGATGAGGTTCAATAAAGGCAAATGCAGGGTCCTGCCCCTGGGGAGGAACAACCTCATGCACCAGGACAGGCTTGGGGTGGACCTGGTGGAGAGCAGCTCTGCGGAGAGGGACCTGGGTGTCCTGGTGGACGACAGGGTGACCATGAGCCAGCAGCGTGCCCTGGGTGCCAAGAAGGCCAATGGGATCCTGGGGTGCATCAAGAAGAGTGTGGGCAGCAGGACGAGGGAGGTTCTCCTTCCCCTCTGCTCTGCCCTGGGGAGGCCCCATCTGCAGTGCTGTGTCCAGTGCTGGGCTCCCCAGTTCAAGAAAGATGAGGAGCTACTGGAGAGAGTCCAGCGGAGGGCTGCGAGGATGGTGAGGGGACTGGAGCATCTCTGC